TTCTATGAGTACACGGTTGAGTTTCACTCCCAAGCGTGGGTCTGCGTCATCCACAACATATACGACTACTCCGACGAGTTCGCGTGATTCCGCATCCATGTCAACAGCCACCAGCGTGACTTCAGTATCCGGCCCCTCGGCTTCTGGTCGTCATTCGACTGGTGCAGGGAAGGGAAGGCGGAACAGCGCGGGTAGTGATATTTCTAGCGCATACTCAGGTGGTGATGTGGCAGCGTTTAAGGACCGTCAACCTTCCTTCGCCGCCAGCGGCGAAGCTTTGGAAGAAGATCGGGTGCCTCCCGTCCCGCCGTTACCCAAGGACTTATCTACTTATCGTTCACCTCCCCAATCCTCGCATGGGATTGCATTTCCCCCTTCTGGTGCCGATGAGAGTGACATTGACCGCACTATGTCACTAGAGGTTCCCCCTGGTTCTTCGAAGCCGTTACCACATTCGCACGCCCAATACTTGCAATCGTCTGCGAATTACGGAAGCCACTCCGCTCCCGAGTCTGCTCCTTCAATCACCAAGACGCCTTCGAAGAAATGGAGTTTCTCCAATGCACTCAATATCAAACTCACTCCATCAATGTCGTCGATGAAGGGGAAAGATTCACTGTCGACCAAATCTTCGAGTTTCCCTCTCAGTCCTCGATCGGTGCAGACGTTCGGGCAACAGTTGCGGAAGTCAGGATCTAGGGAGCAAGCGCTTTCTCCTCCCGTCGCTCCTGGTACTTCTTGGTCTCCTGGTCACCCAGATGCGATGGCATCTGCTGCATCCCTCGCATCTATGTCGTCTGTTGGATCTACCCGCACTCCGAAGTCTCCCGCTGTCTTATCTGGCAAGGCTCCTAGCCGCGCTGGAACGGCTTCGAGTGCCAGCCATCACACGACGTCCGCCTTATCCGCTGCTCATAATGCCCCGCTCAGCCCCTCGTCAATGCGGCGTCATCAATCCAAACGTCTTACGCCATCATCCATACCATTCTTCCGTCGCTCATCCTCTCAGAGCATGCAAATGCCCCCTTCAAACCCAGTTATCACATCAGTATCACCGACACTATCATCATCAGGCACTGGTGCCTCTGCAGCACATCACGTTAAGGCAAGCCGCTCTCCAAACAAAGAATCAAGTCGTACCGTTCCGACTACTCCCGCCTCTTCACAGAAGAAATCATCCGTGCTTAGTCTTGGCCTGCCTTCATTGTTGAAATCTAGTTCACGGAGAAGTTTGCATGGGGACAAGAGTGACACTGGCACTTTCAAGGAAAGCGCGAGGTCTAAGGATTTAGAGAAGGAAAAGTCAAAGCAAGACCAGAAGGATCGTAGTGAAAGCAGGATATCTTTGTTGATGGGACGTAAGAGAGGCAAGGTGTGTGCCTTCCCACTATTTATATTCGGTATGAATCTGACAATACTGTGGGCCTACCAGACCCTATCGTCCACAGATCCAAAAAAGAGTGCTTCTGCTATTGCTTTACCACCCATGCAGATGTCCGCATTGCCTGCCACCACTGCTCAGCGTGTTGCAAATTTAAAGAACAGTTCCTCAGCGTCTACCCCTGCATCTACCATTACCCGGACGCCATCTATATCGCGTGTGACCTCGCAGACTGTAAGCTCAATGCAAAAGCAGTCAGATGCCTCGCTGCGGAGTCGAAACCAACCGTTACCCACAATCGCTGGGTCGCCATCAGTTGGAACCACTGGGTACAGCGTGACAAAGGAGGCGAAGGATTACCCGCCGTCAGTGCTACTGAACTCGATAGGTGGCATGTCAAAGGAAACGCCAACCAAGATTCCTCGCATTTCGAGCCGCACCTCAGCTGCAGGATCTCCAGGACTTGGGGGTACAACTGTAGCCAGTCGTCGCATCAGCCTTAATGTCACTGCGCCTTCGACGGACCCTTCACCCACGCCTGCCGATCCTACAATGAATGAGTTTGGTGTTCTGGAGAATGGTGACGCACAAGTTGCGAAGGCGTCGGGCGAAACGACAACGACAAGGCGGCTCTCTGTCCGAGCTTCTCCGTCGATCAATTCCCGAGTTCCAAGACAGGTCTCTGGGCCTCCATCTGCTGGCGGCATCCCTCGAAAGTCCAATCGTGATTCGGTCTCCTTCAGCACTCTACGTAAGGCGTCCACGGGCTCTGTGGCCTCCACTGCCTCAGTGGCTCCTCCTAGCGAAACAACACACTCGCATAGATTTTCTGCTTTGTCTCCATCGAAAGGTTTGAAACTGCTTAGTCCTAAGATTTCTCTGTCCACACGTTCTTCAAACAACAATGGTTCAACGGCTAACGTATACCGGGCTCAAGCAGGGACTCCTGCCTCAAGTCGTCAGTCGCTATCGACTCCTTCTCCAGTCCCTAGCACCGTTGATGAAGAGGAACTCCTTGGCGATGAAGAGATGATGCAATACATCAGACGGCAGCAGACTAAGAAGATGGCACATGGGGCATCGCAGGCTGAATTGGACGATCTACTTAAGTTTCCAGAACCAATAGCACCAAGCGCTGGATTGACGCCTCAGGGTCAGTTGCTCTCTACTCCGAGAATCTCAATCATTCATTTTGCACGCAGAGGTGTTGAATTCTTCTCAGGCTCAGTTCCTGTCCGATTACGAGAAAGAAGAGATTCTCAACTATCCCCAGGTTTACTGTATAGGTTCTGGGAGCCCGAAGAAGAAGGCTCATCCTGAGATTGTTGTCAACAATTTCGGCTACGATGATGAACGTGGAGATTACCAGGTAGTCAACGGCGATCATCTCGCTTTCCGCTACGAAATCATGGATACCTTGGGCAAGGGCTCGTTCGGTCAAGTGCTGAGCTGTAGAGATCACCAGACAGGCGAATCTGTTGCGATTAAGATCATCCGCAATAAAAAGCGCTTCCATCACCAAGCACTGGTGGAGATCAAGATCCTAGACAATCTTCGTAAATGGGTATGCATCCATACTTACATCATTCTCGAAAGATGAATTAACGCGTCTTTCAGGATCACGAAGAGAAGCACCATGTCATCAAGATGACTGAGCACTTCTACTTCCGCAATCACCTCTGCATTGCCATGGAACTACTTAGCATCAATTTGTACGAACTGATCAAAGCAAACGGTTTTGTTGGATTCACAACGGCATTGATACGACGCTTCACAAGCCAGATGATATTGTCTCTGTGCTTGATGCGGCATCATCGCATAGTGCATTGCGATCTGAAACCAGAGGTTCGTTGTTCTCGCATTGCATGCACCTTGTCTTATGACTCTGTTTAGAATGTCTTATTACGACACCCTGCGAAGAGTGCTATCAAGGTCATAGACTTTGGCAGTAGCTGCTTAGAGCACGAGAAGAGTAAGTTCATTTTCACCACGGTCCCTAAGATTTTACTGAACCACGCGTAGTCTATACTTATATTCAGAGTCGTTTCTATCGGTCGCCTGAAGTTATCCTGGGCATGAACTATCACATGGCTATCGACATGTGGAGTTTGGGTTGCATCCTCGCCGAGCTCTATACAGGATTCCCTATCTTCCCTGGCGAAAACGAGCAGGAGCAATTGTCTTGTATCATGGAGGTCTTGGGGCCCCCAGATAAGGACTTCATCAATCGTAGCTCCCGAAAGCGACTCTTCTTCGGTAAGATGACACATTGGCAACCTTCTATCACTTCGCTGACCCTTTCTAAGACAACAACGGCGCACCCCGACCCGTGGTGAACTCTAAAGGTCGTCGTAGACGACCAGGCACAAAAACACTTGCTCAAGTTCTACGGTGTCAAGACGATGACTTTGTCGACTTCATTGCGCGGTGCCTTGTATGGGATCCCGAGCGAAGGATGAAACCTCAAGCAGCGCTGCAACATAACTTCCTCCGTGCAGGACGTCGAAGCAAGACCACTACCCCTTCGCCAGCCAATGCCAAGACTTTGCTTTCTTCATCTAGAACCAAGGTCACTGAGACACCCAAGAAGTCGCAGATTAGTGCTCCCACTCCGTTGACCGCCAGGACTTCACGAACGACCACGAATGGAGTACCCTCTACTCCAAACACGACTACTGTAGGATCATCATCTCGAACGTACCGGTCCGGCCAGTCCCACGGCCTTTCCTCCCAATATTCCAGTCGGACACTCAGTGGGTTCGCAGTGAGTCGTCAATCCTCATCGGAAATGCCGTTCGAACAAGAGCTTATGAGCTGGCTGCAGACAACAGCCTCTTTGAAATGAGCGACGATGCACACTTGATGCAAACACTTTTTTTCGTTGTGCTTTCTAGTACTTACTCCTTGAGGAATTTTGCTAGTTGCTAGAGTCCTACCTACAACAAGCTGGCCTTCCTTGTTCATACCCGGTCTGCTGTATTTTACCCCTACTTGTCATTTGCATGTTATCCCATAGGTTTTCTGCATATCATCGTAATGCTCGCATCACTCAATATAGTTTCCTACCAGTCCTGTGGTTTACACGTCAACCTCTTGTTAACGACGTGTCCTTTAGGGAGTGATGAAAATAGGTCAGTCTAGCTTGATCACACATACAAGCGATTCCAGGTGTAAGCTACTACTGCATAGTCAGCACGTAGACTAGGTCTCCGGCATGTTGTCGTGACACTAGCTTGTCCTCATTCCAGTTTGTTTGCCACTCGATCTCTGGGCTGCGTGCCCCTCGGCCTAGTCCACCGGATGGACGTGACCTCGACCATGACAACTTGCCCGATTGATAGTACTGCTCATGCATATGTGAAAGAGAGATACAGTGAGACCAATATATTGTACATGTGTACAGCGAACAAACATGCAGTAATATAGCCTGGTTATCTTTTACTTGTAGATAGATAACACCAGTGCTTACAATGTTGCTGTGTATTGTAGAACACGGCATAAATATAATATATACTTCGAGTTCAACTCGGAAAACAATTACATCACATAATCATACCTGTACAATGGCTTGAATAATCAGCGAAACCGTGACAACATTCACATCGCAAGTTCCATGGACTTAATCTTGCATGGCCCATTGTGGCAGCCACTCCTCCCAATCCTCCCAGTCGACGTCAACCGATTCATGTTCATGTCCACGGTGTTTATGGTTTTCTTTATGATGGCCACGAGGGTCGAGCAGGTTCGTAATGACATGCAAAGCGCCATTCCGAGCGGGGATGTCATACGGTCCAACGTCGTGACCGTTGACCACAAACCTGGTGAAGTAGCGGGCAGGACCAGGAAGAGGAATCTTGGCTTTGTAGCGGGCAACCTGAACATTTAAGGAATGGTTCTCCAGCAGGGTGGGAAGGGTGAGATTGTAGGCATATAAAGGGTTACTGGGAGAATCTACGAAGACGCCAGCTTCCTGGTCATCAATGAAGGCAGTATAAGATGTAGCATTGTGCACGTAGTCTATGGACAAATGAAGTTAGATTCACGACAAGACAACTGTTTAAGCATGCTCGCCTGTGTGCAGCACGAGTTGAGGCACAACATGATACTCCAGAAGTTTCCTGAGCGCTTTAGCGCCAAAGGGCGAAAATAAGAAAAATCTTAATTTCTTGGGAAGACGCTGGAATGCTCCTGATGTGGGGGCAAAGAAAGTGGCAATTTCTGCGCCGACGAATGATATATGACAATCTTTGCCGGGAATCCGCCAATAATCAACTGCGCCAGTTAAGCCCACGCGCTGAATAGCAGACGTCTGCACAATGTAAAGTATAAGAGGAGCAAATAAAAAGGAACAAGATTACAAACTTACCACGTATGAGAAGACTTCGGGAAAAGCAAACATTTCACTGAACAAGGAAGGGGGAGGCAAGAGTGGGATGTTGATACTGTGGATGACACCTGGTCAATCGTAAGCATGTGCCCATTATTCAGTATCAAATCGCTCACCATTGCTAGCCTCAGTATCGCGCTTTATGACATCTACCACGGTATTAATCCTGAGTCGAGGGGGAACAATCGTGCTCTGAACACTCAAGCGCAATGGTTGATAGTCCATGCTCCCATCATTCAATGTCAAATTCGTTGCGTATGTAGAGTTTTGAACGAGCGCAGTAGAATCCAACTTCTCAGGCAGGATGTGATACGCGAGGATAGCGCGAATGATGCGGCCAAGTGCCTCCTTACGGTGGTCCTTGTCACGAGACTCAGGGATGTTATCAAGTTCTTCAACCTGAAGGACGAGGCGGCCAAGGTCATAAGCGATATCACGCTCATCCCCATGCTTAGGTGCGAGAGATGCGAAATCGAGTTGATGATTGTCGTCGTCATCCCCGTGCGAGGGCTGACGATGTGGAATACCTGTATTTGGAACCGCAAAAAAAGTGATGCTAGAGAGGAATAGCGTCGAGTAGGCGAGGGGCGCTGGCATAGGGGTACTTACCTGGCTGCAGGGTCGTCCAAAAGGTCGGTGACCCCGTCGCTTAAGTTGATGGCTTTGACTAAACGCGAGTACCTGCTACGCTGTGAGTATGCGTCAGACCTGATACCATTAAACGAGTGACCTTTCGTCGTCTTTCAAAACCTGGTAAATTGTCCTGTCCTCCGAAAGGGGAGCAAATATGCCCCAGCAGCGAACTAGCCCCTCGACGGGAAATTGCGGAAGCCAGGAAAGCGTAGGAAGAGCATACGCGCCTCCAACACAGAGTATGGGCACAAGATTATGAATTCTCATATTAGTGCGCCTATTTCTGACGTATCGGTGGAATCGATAATTGTGGACGGTGAAGATGGGGGCTGAGGCTCTTATATAATCCCTAATATTAATGCTCTCCGCAGCACGGGCGCTGGCATCAACTGCGCGTGACGACAATGGGCGTAAACGTTATTGCACAGCATCATCAGACCTGATACAGAGGGACAGTGCTGAGACTCGCAGAAGTTTCTACGTCGAGGTCAGTATGTACGCACTGCAGAGTGCAGAGTGTATCATAACTGGTATTATGCTATGGGCTACAAAGGGTTATGACAACGTCCGACCGCGAGCATGTTCGATCTACTCTACCATCTGGCGGAATTTGTCCTGGATTTCCGTGTGTAGCGCGTCCAGCTTCTGCATGATAGGTTCCTGTCCTTGCGAGGGAGACTGACAGACAAACTCGATAAAGCGAAAATAATCACAAGAGAATGACAGATACGTACCTCAAATTTCATTTGTGAGAGTTTAAACATGAGATCACTCGCAGTATCCTTAATTCTCGCGAACGTCAGATCGCCTTGCGCCACCGCTCTCAGCGCTGAATCGTGGAACGCGACAAAATTCTTCAACATTCCCGCAGTCTTGTAGAATGGACAGTAGCGGTCGTACTCGCTCATGCCATTCTGCTGCAGGAAGTCATCCTTGAGCATCCGCGCGACCTCCAGCGTAATTTTGTCTGATTCTCCCAGTGCGCTTTTCCCGACAAGTTGCACGATCTCAGCGAGATCCTCCTCCTTCTGCAGAATCTCCTTCGTTTTCATGCGTAAAGACACGAAGCCTGGTGAGTTGGACTCATAGTAAGGCTCAAGCACTTTTGTGTACTTGGAGTACGACAAGTTCCAGTTAACAGACGGGAAATGCTTGCGCTGCGCGAGCTTCTTGTCGAGGCCCCAAAAGACCTGCACGATACTAAGTGTAGAAGATGTGACGGGGTCCGAGAAGTCACCACCCGGTGGTGACACACTAAAATGTGATCAGGATAATGTCCACACAGAAGTAATTCCTACTTACGCCCCAACAATCGACACTGTTCCTTGCCTCGCTGGGCTACCCAAACACTTCACTTTCCCGGCACGCTCATAAAAGCTCGCCAGCTTGGTCGACAGGTAGGCAGGATATCCTGAATCAGCCGGCATCTCTGCCAGACGACCCGAAATTTCACGTAGCGCCTCAGCCCAGCGTGATGTTGAATCTGCCATCATTGCGACGTTTGAACCCTGATCCCGGAAGTATTCTGAGAGTGTGATGCCGGTATAAATCGAGGCCTCGCGAGCTGCAACTGGCATATTGGAAGTGTTAGCAACGAGTGTGGTACGCTTCATAATGGGTTCTTGGCGAGAGCCAATCTCCATTGTAAGTTCAGGGAACTAAGGGACGTCAGTGTGTGCTTATATTGGATAGGCAGTGATATCACCTCCATCAACACTTCAGCCATCTAGAAATGGTATTTGAGGGACGAAGCAATTTGAGACATCTTGGATAACGCACCTCATTTCCTCGCTCACCACATCCGACGTAGATGATGATATCGCTATTCGAGAACTTGGAGAGCGCTTGCGAGATGACGGTCTTGCCACAACCAAAAGCACCAGGGATGGCAGTGGTGCCGCCTTGCACGCATCTATACACCTGTCAGCGGTGAACCATTGATAGTGGAATACACACACGGAAAAAGTGCATCCAGGATGCGCTGACCAGTCAACAAGGGAAAATCGGCGGTCTGTTTCTCGGCAACGGGTCGAGGGGCACGGACTGGCCACAACTGCATCATGGAGTGCTTTGTTGTCCGACCCTCGAACTCGGTCTCTAACACGATGTCCTAATGAAGACAATCAGGTACAGAGTTTATGGATGTAATTGTGCTGCGAACGCACATCGACTGTATAGCTGCCCTTTTCTGCGATGCGGGTGATAGTACCGAGAGCACGGGGAGGAAGCATGATCTTGTGGTTGTCGACGAGCGAGTTTTCGTAAACACCGCCAAAGATGTCACCTCCTGATATGTGATCGCCGACCTTACACATATCAATCAGTACATTACTAATGTTCGATCAGTGTCGAATCACCTTGTATGCGGCAGGAGTGAAGTCCCAGGATATCGAGCGATCCAGTGCCTCTGTGTTGATACCACGAGGTATGTAGATTGATTTGGACAGTTCTTGGATGGACTGTATCCCATTAAATAAGTTATCTACGCGGCTGAAATGAACGCTTACTCGGAGTGGTCTCTGAATACCATCGACAATATTACCCATCAGACCTGTGGAGAGCTGAGAAAGCACAATGCATGGTACATCATTTGAGTAACGCACCTGGACCCAACTCAACACTGAGCGGTTTACCTGTCCTTAGGACAGGGTCACCGACGGTCACGCCAGACGTCTCCTCGTACACCTGAATCGTTACTTTATCTGCCTCTATTCGAATGACCTCTACGACTAATGAGTCTCGCTTCGTTCCAGTACCAAGGCTGCGCACCTCCGACGAGCTCGTCATGGCCGACGCGAACAAGCTCGTACATAGCAGCTCCAATCATGTTCTCTGCAATGACAACAGGCCCTGAAACGCCATACACGTGACCAAAGCGAGATTCATGGTCTTCATCTTGGATTTTTGGGAGGTCGCGCTTTGCGTTCTGGAGAGCACCTGCCATCGTACACAACTACAAGCTGTGGGTCGAGCTTACCGGGGCAGCATGCCCAAAGCGGGGTATGAATATCCTCGGTGGTTGCCGAGGCGCGTTACCCGCAGTGACGCGTCCCATAGCATAAGCAGTCTGTACTTGCTCGCCGTTCTCTCCGTCAGGAACACTTCTTTCACCATCCGACACGATGCCTCCAAAAGCGTAAGCCCATTCAGCACGCCTTTTCTATTTCACGCTAACGATATTTATGTAGTGATTGGGAGAAATGTATGTACAGCTTGACAAGTCCATTGTGCGTCACTGATTTCCTGCAGACGAGAAGAAGGCCGATGACAAGGAGGAGAAGATTCAAGGTGTGTCAATTGTATTCCCCACTTATGTTCTGTTCTAACACCTCTTAGCTCTTACAACTAGCGATATCCAGATCCTCAAAACCTATGTAAGTACAATATCCGTATGCTTTGTCCACCTACCAACGCATTCTCTGCAGGGTCAAGGCGCATACGCCGCCAAGTTGAAGAAGACAGAACATGACATCAAGGAAGTGCAGAAGCGGATAGACGAAAAGCTTGGTGCGCACAACTTTGCCCGCGCCGTTCATGGACTCATTTCAATGCAGGCGTGAAGGAGTCTGACACAGGCCTTGCTCCGCCAAATCTCTGGGATCTTCCAGTTGACCGACAACGCATGGGAGCTCATCCATTGCAAGTTGCGCGGTGTACTAAAATCATTCCTGTTGATCCCAAGAAAGCCGAGGCCGCACGCGCCGTCAACCCTGTCGGTGCCGCTCAAGGCCAGAAGGGGGCCGACGAGCAGGACAAATATGTCATTAACATCAAACAAATAGCTAAATTCGTTGTTGGTCTCGGTGATCGAGTCGCCCCGACAGATATCGAAGAGGGTATGCGTGTGGGGTGTGCAGAATTACTTGTACAAAAAGCTGGTGCACTAACATTTCAACAGTGTGGACCGGAATAAATACCAAATCCAAATCCCACTGCCACCCAAGATTGATGCTTCGGTGACGATGATGCAGGTTGAGGAGAAGCCCGACGTAACGTACTCGGACGTTGGTGGATGCAAAGAGCAAATCGAGAAGCTGCGTGAAGTCGTTGAGACGCCGCTACTATCAGTGAGTTGTTATTACGCTCAGTCATGCTGAATCACTGACACTGTCCAAGCCTGAGCGCTTCGTCAAGCTCGGTATCGATCCACCAAAGGGAGTCCTTCTCTTTGGGCCACCAGGAACCGGCAAAACTCTTTGTGCACGCGCAGTCGCCAATCGCACAGATGCCACCTTCATCCGCGTCATTGGCTCAGAACTTGTGCAAAAGTATGTCGGCGAGGGTGCACGAATGGTTCGCGAGTTGTTTGAGATGGCCCGTTCAAAGAAAGCTTGTATTATTTTCTTTGACGAAGTCGACGCTATCGGTGGGGCGCGATTTGATGATGGCGCTGGTGGTGACAATGAGGTGCAGCGCACAATGCTGGAGTTGATTAACCAGCTGGATGGATTTGACCCCCGAGGGAATATCAAAGTGCTCATGGCCACAAATCGACCAGATACTCTTGACCCTGCATTATTACGTCCCGGTCGACTTGATCGGCGGGTGGAGTTTTCACTGCCTGATAATGAGGGGAGGGCTCATATTCTCAAGATTCATGCTCGAAGGTTGGAGACTACACGTCCACACTTATCAGCTAGCTGATAACTTTCTTCAGTATGAGCGTCGAACGCGATATCCGATTCGACCTGATTGCTCGATTATGTCCCAATACGACGGGTGCTGAACTTCGCTCAGTTGCAACAGAGGTGAGAATTGACCATCTTCAGCACTAAACATATTATAATTGTATCCTATCTAGGCTGGCATGTTTGCAATTCGTGCCCGGCGGAAGGTCGCTACGGAGCGCGACTTCCTCGATGCTGTAGAGAAGGTCGTGCGACAAGGGACGAAGTTCTCGTCAACGTAAGCTATTGTTCATATTTTGCCTGAAGAAATCTCATCATATTTTGCAACCGCAGACCTCTATATCAAGTGTACAACTAGATTATTTGACTTTAAACTTGCATGTATCATTCTCTCAAATCACGCATTTTCATGGACCGCTTGAGCATTATCTTGTGGACAAGGACTGCAGCACTGAGCACACTCGAGTCTCGACCACTTTCGTATTAACTCAGACTTTCCTAACAAAGCTTTTACCGTGATCTCCATGTCGAATGGGCACGAGGTTCCATACAGCTCAATGTTCATGTGGGCCTGCGCTCGACTGTTCTTTGATGCCCTTCAAGACCCTTTTTGCGCAGATTTGTGCTCCTTGTGTGCATTAAATATTCATGACCAAGTATCATGCTGAGGAGGACACCGTTTCAAATTGTCTGGTACATATATACTAGGACATGCAACGTCTACCATGGCATCGTCTTATATGGATGCCATAATTCGGAGGTACTAATGTCGACATGCTTGTTAGCTTAGAACTGCACCGAATATTGCACTGAACTGTTACTACTTACTACTCAGGGGAGACTCGAGAGCTTGACTCGGAACTAGTAGCGGTCTAGTTCCGTACAATGATGATGATGACGACCAACCTTCCAGTGCGCGCCCTCACAGTGCGCACCATCCAACGGCGGCGGTACCATGTTCGTCGTGCACCGTCGCCACCGTCCGCTGAATCTGCTCGACTTCTCGACTCGTTCGCAGCACATCCGCCACTTCCTCTAACGCTTTCAACCCTCGTGTCCTTCGGGAACCCTTTAACACCTGCATCTGTGTTGCGCTCAGTAACGTACGTACTCTCGGAGATACCAAGACGTATGGCCCAGCGCGTCCGCGCCCTGGAGGGGTTGCCATTCATTGTCGGCACTAATCCATATGTTACACGAACTCTCAACGGTCACAGAGACAGCTTTAATTTACTCGCCACTTATCCTGAAGTGCACACACTTGAGGACAATAAACATTTTGTCGATGAGCTAGATATACTTGTGCAGAGACATAGAAACGATATACCAACCATGGCCAAGGGGTGCGCTGGTAGTTGTGCTTCGAATGATCAACCTGACTTCAACAACTCTTAGATTTCAAGAGTGCTCGCGGTACATGTCCCCAACTCAAATATCCAACTTCCTCGATGGTGCTATCAGATCCCGCATCTCTGTACGCTTGATTGCTGAACAACATATCGCGCTCTCACACGCACTTGCTACGGATCCAGGGGCCGCAGAGACTGGCGTGCTCTTGCACAATGGTGTGATTGATCCAAAGTGCTCCCCCGCGGCCATGGTCCGCATGTGTGGCGCATTCGTCAGCGAATTATGCGAAGCTACCCTTGGCGCAAGCCCCAACATCACAATCGACGGGTGTCCAGAAGCCACATTCACGTAAGTTTAATATATCTATAGCAGAACCTATCAATATAATCATCCTCCACTTACCAGCTATGTCCCTGTGCACCTTGAATATATCCTCACCGAAATGCTCAAGAATGCGTTCCGCGCTACCGTAGAGCACCACCACAAGCTTCATGGCCTCGCTTCATCCCACCCCCTACCACCCGTACAAATCACTATCTCACCCCCTACTTCATCCCATCCATTCCTATCAATTCGAATTCGCGACCAGGGTGGTGGCGTCTCAGCGTCCAACATGGCTCGTATATTCTCATATGCTTTCACTACCGCAGGGCATGCCGACGACCATAACGTAGACGGTGGGCCCTACGCCGCACAGCATATTGGAGGGAGCGCAGCCATCGGGAGTGGTGGTGCAGGGGAAGGCGGGAACCTTTTTGGCGAGATTACAGAGAAGGGTATCCAGGTGGGCCTTGGAACAATTGCAGGTTTAGGGTATGGGCTCCCTTTGAGTCGGTTGTATGCAAAGTGTGTTCGCCTTTTCTTTTCATCTGTGTGTAGTCTCTCTCATATCGACTTCTTAGATATTTCGGTGGTTCATTGGATGTATTTTCGCTTGACGGGTGGGGTGAGTTCGACCAAGTATTCATGCATCGTTCGGACTTGCTGATGATTTTGTAGGCAGTGATGTCTTTATCAAACTTAGATGTCTACTAGATGATGCAGGTGACGCCGAGATATAGATCCATGGACTTAATAATGTTTAGCTGTACTTCACGCCCCCAACATTTTGCTGTTACCCTCACAGCTGTATCTGAGCAGTTATATTACTTGTGTGTTTGCCCAATATCCTGCTGACAATGATTAATACATGATTGCTTAAATGTGATTGTTTAGAATGAGGTCTGCGATCAACCGGTCTTTAGCATGCCCACCCTCTCCCAAGTTTGAATTGGTAAGTAACTGAACTGTGATTTCTTTGTAGATAGTGGTGTGAATCCATTCAGTCATCTGAAATGACAGTGCTAAACCAGTGCTTCGTCATCGCGAATTCACCATCGTCTTGTGTTACAGAATCAATTCGGCCAACAAATTTTCGCCCTTGCACTAGGAGGGGCAGCCAGTAAGCATCACCATCCCACATCATTTCATACGGGATCGGTGGCAGTATCGCGTCTGCATCAGACGTAGCGGGTGACTCAAATGAGAACCACTTCGGTCGCATTTCGTCTGACCTGGGGCCAGTCCTTGAATTTAACAAATACCGCCGTTGCGCAGCCAAAAAGGACATACTCTGTAGGTGTTCCTGAGTATGAACGGGCAGAAAATATCTCGATCTGGAAAGCCCATCCAACAGCGTTTGTCACGAACAACAGTGATCCTGCGTGCTCGAGGGGCGCATCAATACCGGCTTCTTCCTGAATCGCAAGTCAATATCTGGCCCTTGTGTTATAGAAATGGATTTGAAAGACTTTAAGTTCGCGCATCGCAGCTTCAGCGAGCGTCTCTCCTGGTTCCACCTTGCCACCAAACCCATTGTACCTGTTATTGTGGGTTCCAAAATCACTCTCCGTAATTGTGACGAATATACGGAAGCTTGCTTACTTGTTGATGCCAAATCCACGTTTCTTCAACCCGAGGAGGATCTGGGAATCTGAAGCGTTCTCCTCGGATGGGTGGACTGTGTAATGCTAGTACACACCTTATCGCCCTGGATGATGAACGCGTTGGTATAGAACCGCTTGTGGTCGAATGGCAGCCAGTCTGCCACTCCCCCTTGAACGTATTCTACGAGGTTTCCTTCGAGCCCAGGAGGAAGTCCAGATGTCATTTTGGCCTATGGTTCTCTTGTGAGATTTCACAAATTGTATATATCTGGAGAAAATCTGCGCGTTCGTCGAATCGCATTAGTCAGACCTTCGGCACCGAGTATCGGTGGAACTACTCGATGTACTTAAGTAACGTCTGATCAGGCGTTGGCAACGTGTTGTTTATTTCCAGGGCTCTTGCCAAACACACTTTTGATCTGTACTACATACAGCGGCATTAAAGCACGAATATTATTTTAGTTCAGACAGCCTGAAAGAAGCCGACGGAACGCATCATAGCGCACCCCCAACTACCTTGCAATGTCACGGTTAATCCATAGAAATTGTATTGGCCAAAAGTGCGTGTGCGCGCCTCATTGTCGACCCCAACTTCTCAATACATTCGAAAGCCACTGCATCCCCCGCATTTTATCCAAAACGTTCTTCATGGACAGTGAAATGAAGACATGATGTCAAGGTTTGACGCTGGTACTCGACCTCCGGGCTGACCCCTTCGTTCACGGTCAATTATACACAGCATTGTCAAGAATGAGAACGCGAAGAGATGCATTGTCTATTTGCAGAGACGATGCTAATATGCATAATTTGCCACTATAAACACAATATATCATCGAAAAGCCAACCGAAGGGGTGTCCTCACAAATACGAAAGTCACAGTAGGACGTTCGAGTGTACGCAAGTTCAGCATAGTACTGCCGTTTATCATCGGTCGACCGAAACATGCATCTGACATTGCTGCATGTACGTACAAGTACAGTTGCAATCATTGAGAATGTATCTATGGGGCTCAAATTCATGACACAGTTCAGGTACTCTTCGGAAGTGGGGTCTCTGCATACAGCACCTTCATATCCGCTAAAGGATAGCGATCCCCAACCACCCAATCAGCCTTCTCCGCAATAATACGTACTTCCTGGACTGATTCAGGACTTAATGACACATCGATAGCACCGAGGTTCTCCTCGAGATACTGTGCAAGTCAAAACCATGAACGCCCAAGGTTATATAGCTACTGACCTTGATCTTCTTTGTACCCGGAATGGGGATGACATCCTCACCTTGGGCAAGAAGCCATGCCAACGCGACTTGTCCCGCGGTTGCATTATATTGCTCGCCCACTTTCTTCAGGTTATCTGCCAGTTTCAATATGTTCGGGAAGTTCTCCTTCGAGTATCTAACCAAGTACAGTTCGAGTGAGCCCCCACTAGGCACTGACATGACACATACCTGGGAACCATCCTCCTGAAATCATCAGAATCGAAGTCATCTGGAGATTTCTTTTCATGCGGTGAGTGTCCGAATGAGTTTTACCAGCCTGCCATACTTACATACTGTCCCGTAATCAAACCACGCCCAAGAGGCGAGTAGGCAATTATTTTGATTCCGAGTTCACGAGCCATGTTTAGAATGTTGAGCTTTGAGTCCTCGATGTCGAGGGTGAAAGGCGAATACTCCACTTGGACGGCAGCGATAGGGTGCACTTTCTGAGCACGGCGCAAGGTGTCCGCACTGCATTCTGACAGCCCAAGATACTTCACTTTCCCCTGTCTTCCCAGCGATGAGCATGTGCTAGGGTGTTAGGAACTGTCGAACGTTCGCTTACTTAACAAGTTCTGCCATGGCGCCGACAGTTTCCTAGCTGATTTTAGAAAACTTCAATCAGCCCACAAACAGAGACGTACTTCGATTGGTGTTTGTTGATCAGGTCTGCATGATGATGATGATAAAGTAAGTTGAGTAACCTGTTTAACACGCTGGGCGTACCTGTGCAAGTAGTAAAGCTCGACCTTGTCAACACCAAGCAACCTTTGTGATTTTGCAAATGACTCGTGAACATTTTTTGGAGATCCGTCAACCCCTCTATTGTCAGATCCACTGATGACGATACCGAATTTTGTAGAAAGGAAAATTTTGCTCCGCTTTTCGGGGTTCAGCTTGAACCTATGCTCCTGGTTTGTGAGGGGCTATTACTGTTACAGTGCAGTACGACGTACCATTTGCCAATGAGCTCTTCGCTGTCTCCATAGACATTGGCAGTGTCCCAGAAAGTGCAGCCGAGTTCATACGCTTTATCCAGAACCTATTGAAAGGGGCAGTCATGAATTAATGTGGCATACAGCAGGGTGCTCGCGCTTCACCTTGAAGCGCTCCTCATCTGAATCAGTCTGACCGTAAAATGCTCCTATGCCCATGGCACCAAAGCCAATGGTAGAGACATCGTCGGTGCCAATTTTGCGTGTGGGATTCTTGGCCATGATGTTAGATGTAGCTACTAAGGTGGCGGATACTGGAACTCACGAGAAGAAAGAAATGGCTTTATACCCCCCAGTCTCTTGGCTTAGTTATTCAACGGGTGAGTGAGAGAGACTCGGAGTCTTGGACACACGCTGGATAGAGCTGACGCAATTGATATACATGACATACTCGTGCCGCGGCCGTGACGTGGCATTGAAGCGGGACGCGGCACCACCGGTAACAAAATATTGGAGAAAATCTGCGCGTAGATTGGCGCCGAATCGTGTCGTCACATCAGCAAAAGTGCCCAAATCTAACGAGGTCCGGCAAGGTCCGGAGAGTCTCCCACGGCCACATGATGTGTTCCGAGGCTTGATTGTATTTGTTCGTCATCACGCAAGGTACGCATACTCGTCTCATAAGGCCTTACTAGACTGTTTCAACCTCGCGGCAGCCTCGCAAGGCATTTCAAGATCGGCGCTGTCTCGCACAGGATTGCGAGGGAAACTTCATCTCTAATAACAGTTTGTGTTTCAAAGGTACGGTCCGAGTCCTATTTCGGGTTCGGTTCATGCCTTTGAAACACATTCCTTCGGACCGTTCTCATATGTGTATTTAAGCCTTATCAATTATACTAATCGTTGATGCAACAGCCCTCCAACAGCCTCTCTCGATGCTGCTCTACTCAGTCTCATTATTTTTGCTTGCTGTTCTCACCATGGTCAACTGTCCAAACTGCAATGTTGAAGTTCGCGATCGTGGACTTTCCATGCACCTCAGCAGGTACTGCCGCATGCGTGATGTAGCCACGACATCAGCGCTTACTGAACGGCTGGAGCGCCGACAAGCAATTGCCGAAGCTGCCCGTGCAGAGGAAGAACGGCAACAGGAAGAAGAACGTGAGGCACAGCATCGTCAACGACAACAGCAGCAGCCTCGTGTTGAGGAAGTGAGTATTATTTTTAAAACGTAGACTTGATATTCATATATGAACAGGTACCAGATATTGAAATGGACTCGCGACCATCCGGGCGTCCCAATCGCCAGATACGTCTCCCAAAACGTTACCGTGACGAAGTTCCAGTCCTGCCAATTCCTGCCCCACCTCCTGTTGAGCCAGATGAGCCAGCACCAGTGCCTGACGACCCCGACAACATTGCCATGGACTTTGATGACAGACCATCCTCGGAGCATGCCCCCCCTACAGAGCAACATCGTACGGACACTGATACATTCGACCTTTTTCGTGAATACCCTCATTCATTTCCAACATACGACCCCGAACATTCAGCCTACTTTGATGCTCTCTGCGACTCCTCAACGTTCCAGCATGTTGATGGGGACGCCGATTACGAACGGCCATGGTATGCTGGCTTCGGACAATCACTCGAGGCAGTCCACCATGACTACTTCGCACCATTCCTTAATGCCACTGTTTTTCGGCTCATGACATGGTTTTACAACTCATCGATCTCGAAATCACTGCAAGATCTCAATCGTCTAGTCAACGATGTCATTTTAGCGGAGGATTTCTGCCGAGAGGATTTGTTAGATTTCAATGCGTCTAGGGAGACCTCGCGTCTCGAGAAGGCCCAACATGACCCTGCCTCATCCATATTTTCTTCTGATGGATGGCATGAGACCTCAGTGAAAATACGACTTCCGTGCGAAAAAGAGAAGTTCTCTTCTGAAGATTGCGCACCTGAATTCGAAGTTAACGGGCTTTATTACCGCAAGCCATTGGAAGTCCTCAAATCTGCATACCAGGAGGTTGCAGCGAAGACGTTTCACACAAAGCCATACAAACTATTCTGGCAACCTGACGATGACGAACCTCCAGAGAGGATCATTACTGAGTTGTATACGTCTGACGCCATGCTTCAAGAGCATGAGAAGCTCAACTCGCAGCCAAATGAACCGGGCTGTAACTTGGAAACTGTCATTGGTGCGATCATGCTCTGGTCCGACTCTACTCATCTAGCGAGTTTCGGAAATGCTTCTCTGTGGCCGATATACTTGTTTATTGGCAATCAGTCAAAGTACATTCGTGGCAAGCCAACATCGTTTGCAGCACATCATCTCGCATATATTCCAAAGGTCCGTCTTTACTATTTGAACTCAAGACACGAACTAATTATGTGTATAGCTATCAGATACTATCCAAGACTTCTACAAGAAGACTTTTGGTCGTAGTGCCACAGGAGCAGTGCTCACGCACTGCAAACGTGAATTAATGCAGGCCGTTTGGCGCTTCCTACTCGATGCCGATTTCATAGATGCATATGAACATGGCTTCGTTGTCAAGTTCCCTGATGGAGTCTCTCGTCGTGTGTTTCCTCATTTTTTCACTTATTCTGCTGATTATCCAGAGAAGTCTGTTTCACATCTTACTTGATTGCACCATACTAATCTCCGCAATGTCAGGGTTCTACTTGCGTGCATGAAATTCCTTGGGAGGTGTCCATGCCCGCGGTGTCTTGTTAGCAAAGACAACATTTTCAAATTAGGGACAAAGTTCGATCGACGACAGCGCACCAGGAATTCTCGAGTCGACAATCATCCACGGCGTAGTCTCATTGAACGGGCCCGTGAACTCATATTCGTTCGAGGCTATAGTGTAGTCAGCTCTGCAATTGAGAGAATCATCGGTACCACCTCTGTGGCACCTATTCGTGTATGTATGATTTGAATTGAGCTTTCAAAGTTTACTAACTGTGAGTATCAGAATGCCTTTTCAGAGAAGCTCTCCAAGTTCGGTTTTGATTTCCACTCGATGCTCGTGCCTGACTTTATGCACGAGTTTGAGTTGGGAGTATGGAAGGCAACCCTTACTCATCTTCTCCGAATTTTGTATTCATATGGAGGTACTGCTGTGCAAGATCTCAATGAGTGGTAAGTCGTTTCTTCTCATATATATGCGTGTCCATCATAATTCAGGTATCGTCTCGTGCCAACATTTGGACGTGATACCATCCGCAAGTTTAGTGACAATGTGTCAGGTCTTACGAAACTCGCAGCGCGTGATTTCGAAGACCTGCTTCAGGTAGGAATATAAGTAATACAGCTGCCGCCATGTTGATCAATGCTGGCAGTGTGCGATGCCAGTATTTGATGGTCTTCTACCAGAACCGTTCAATGACTCAATCCTCAACCTTCTGTTTGAGCTGGCCACCTGGCACTCATTCGGGAAGCTTCGTATGCACACAGAGACAACACTCTATCATTTTGATAACTCTACGACACAGCTAGGAAAGGCTCTCCGGCGATTCCGCGACAACACATGCAAAAAGTTTGCTACTCAAGATCTACCACGTGAAACAGCTGCTCGTGCACGGTGTCGGCGTCTTAAAGCATCTAAAGGAAAGAACAAAAGGTCAGAAGGGACAAATACTGATGCTGAAGGTGATGGCTCCTCCAAGCAACGGCTCCTCAACCTCTCGACTTACAAACTCCATGCTCTCGGGGACTATGTCAAGTCAATTTGGCAGTATGGGACTACAGACAACTACTCTACGCAAGTGGTGAGTATCGGAATCCATGAATAACTTGAAATGATCCACTAATGGTAGTGTTAGGGTGAACTCGAACATCGCCGAGTCAAGCACTTTTATGCACGGACCAACAAGAATAAGTTTGCCCGTGGAATCGCAAGACTTCAGCGCCGTGAGCGCATTTTGCAAAGGATGAGAGAGGTCAACCGTGAAAGGGAAGCTGCAAGAGAGGATCACTTACAGCCTGAGACAGAGGATCTTCGTCCAAGTCTTCATTTTGTTGACCAGGATCCACTGCCGCATTGCTCACCAGAGATCCATTATCAAATGTCCTCGTCACAGAAACACTACTGGGATGTTTCTTCCTGGCTCAGAAAGAATAGAAATGACCAGGCCACAAATGTAGGTCTCTGATACTCATATAACGACAAATGTATTTGCTCACCAGATGTAACTAGAATTTTCTTCCGCGCCTCAAAGACCACCTTCTGGGTCGCTTATCAGGGTTGGCCTATGATGGAGATGAAACTTCGTTTACTGCTGCAGAACAGAACTCTGTCATAATCATCAACAACTGGATCTATCGTCACAAAGTGCTTCGCGTCAACTATACCACCTACGACTTGCGGCGTGCTCAGGACTCCCTCAACCCCCGCACACATGCAGACATCATGGTTCTTGCTCATGACCAGGAAGACTCTCATCCATACTGGTACGCCCGGGTTGTCGGCATCTTTCATGCCAATATCCGCTGCATGAGACAAGGTGCACGTCCCACTATAAAGTGTGTCGACTTTTTGTGGGTCCGCTGGTTCGCTCGTGACATCACTGCCCCAACAGGTTGGGCAGCAAAACGGCTGCCACGAGTTGGGTTTTATGATGGAAACGATGAATCAGCCTTCGGGTTCCTTGATCCTGACCTTGTTGTTCGTGGTGTGCAACTTATCCCAGCCTTTCGACATCTACGTACGACTGCACTGTTGGGACCATCCATTGCCCATCAAGCAGCTGACAATGACGAGGATTGGGACTGGTACTGTGTCAACATGTCAGTTATTTCCCACTAACGAAATGAATCAAGTCTGATAAATTACCAGGTTCGTCGACCGAGACATGTTCATGCGCTTCCGCGGAGGAGGTGTGGGCCACAAGTCCACACGAAGAGACATCATGCCTGCTTGATGATCGTGATGAGTTGGATAGGATCCCCTTCTAAAGAGAGAAAGAGCGCCATGGATCAGAAGACGATGAGGGCTCTGAAGAAGATGAGAATATGGATGAGGAGGGAGACAATGGGAGTGGAGATGATAGCGAGGAGGAAACAGATGATAGCGAGGAGGAGACAGACAGCACGGACGACGAGGACGGGGATGAAGTTCCAGCTCCCTTTGAAGCGATGGTAGACGACACTGTTGCCGACGAGATGGACGAATATGGATACTCCGGCCTTGATCAAGTCCTTGACGAGGATGGTGCAGATGAAGAAACTAATGAGATTGATGACTTCGGTCCGGAAGATGGGGAGGATGGGATGAATGAGTTTGAGGAGGATAGCTTTGCAGACTTGTAATTGACGACAGCACATGACAAGATAGCTCAAATTTGCGCCAGTTTACGCAGGTTTAGAATCTATATTTTGCTTTCATAATCATAGGACCGTGCTGGTCACAGTGTGACCAACCTTATTAATCAATCAATACTAAGTAGTAGTAGGCATGCCTGTTACCCGTCTACAATCTATCCATCATCGCAACTCTTACAGGATGTCTCGGGGCAGAAAAAGTGCCCGTGGTGGTGCAGAGCTAACGGAAGCAAGAGATTGGTGTGTGTGGACGGAAGCAGATGAAACCATCCTCATCCAGTATGTCACCACCAACCGCTCACAAGGTGGTGATGGTATGAACTTTGATCACACGTTTTGGGTTGCTGCTGCCGCTGAAATGGAAAAACACCCCTACTCGGGTGCAAGCAAAACAGCGGCAGCATGTCAATCAAAATGGGGGCGGGTATGTACTACTACTATATCAGCCTTGGTACCCTCACTAATGATCGAGTTTCAGCTCCGTGGTACATTCAACGTCGTCGACAAAGTGGCCAACACTTCTGGACTATCTTACAGCATGGAACATGGAGCTTCGATCACTCCAGAGTCTGAAAACATGTGGACCGACTTTGTGAAGGTAAAGTGATTTTAATTCGCATCAAACTACTACGACAATGCTAATTACTATGAATCAATAGAAAAATCCAAAGGTCAAAGGCCTCCGGGACAAGGGTTGGAAGCACTATGAGGCACTGAAAGGTCTCATACCTGTCAAGCCAGGTAACAACAACTCGTTCTTTGCCACCATCGCAACACCACCTCCCATCATTCCTTCGCCTTCTTCTAGCAGCGCAGTCACCTCCCTTTCCTTTGACGAGGTCCATATGATGGACCTTGGAGATGCACTCGATGGGATCGAGTTCCCCGGCTCTATTTCAGGCGGCCAGCGCGCAACCCCCCTCACCCCAGAGAGCCTCCCTCCATTCGACGCTGCACAGCAACCCTCCCTTGAGTCGGTCCATGTTAGTGCGCCATCATCAACAGCTTCCATTAAACGGAAGATGATTGATGATGACGAAAGTACGCTTGATATCGTTACCCGCCCCCCACATTCAACGAAATCGGGAGACTCGGCGAAGTCTGCACGCCTGACGATGCCTGTGGCCATCCAGCAGATGGGGACTAGTATTGGCGGTCTTAACACGACGTTTGAGCGTGCGGCCAATACTCTTGAGGCCAACACCTCCAACACCTTGGCGCGATCAGTAGATCCCATCCCTTTGCACAGGCAGAAGGCAGTGAAAAAGTTGCAGAGTGAGGGTCTAGAGGACGTACAACTACTCAATATCTTGAATAAATTTCAGGCCGACATCGCTATCATTGATATTTATCTCGCTATTGAGGTAGATAGTCTTCGGCGGTTGTTTTTAGAGCAGCATTCAAAGTAGCATTACATGTATTCTTGTCGTGTTGTGTTCTCTTGTATTGTACTTGTAGTAGCAAAGTAATATCACTGTTTCTATGGATCATAGTCATCGATAAGGGTCCGGTCTTGATCTGACAACAATGTCATCATTTGACGGAGATACTTTGGATCATAGTCATCGATGAGGGTCTGGTCTTAATCTGACAACAATGTCATCATTTGACAGAGATACTTTGGATCATAGTCATCGATGAGGGTCCGAACGGCTATGGTATTAATGCGACTACAGTACTAGTGGTTCTATGATTGCCTGCTCCCCCCTCTGAATCCTTTCCCTGTTGTAGGCCTCCCACATCTCACTAGCAATCTGGTCACGACGGAGGCTTGCACGAGTGCGTGCATGCTCAGTAGGAGGACCATTAGCAAGGTTTCCAGTGTCAGTGAGAATGTGCGCATCTAACACATTACGATAGTCCATCATGTCGTTTGGATCGTGAACTCGAATAACGTTGTGCACGAGACACAAGGCAGGAGGAATGCGTGCTTGAATGTCCATTTTATACTCTGGTGGGAGGAGAAGGATACGAAATCGGTGCTTGATGACACCAAAAATGCGCTCAACAGCATTTTGAAGCATTGCATGACCCAAATTGAAAAGTTCTTTGCGATTACGAGGCCTATGTAATGATGTGAACATAAGTATGAATGGTACTAGCAGAACGCATCATACAAAGTATTAGCACGACCCCACTCTGCAAGATGATAACGCTGAAGGTGAGGAATCTTGACTGTGGGTGAAAACACTAAAAGAAAGGGGGCTCTACAGCAAGACCTGGATACGAGAATACAACTCGACCCAAAGGACAGCTACTGAGAGAAGTTCCTCGCGAATAAGGTGGAGGGAAACTATGTCAACTAGACGGGCGCTGGTAGACGCGGGAAAGTAACGCGCGCGAAGGCGCGCGTAGGCGATGCGAAGGCGCGCGAGATGCGCGCGTGAACGAGAGATGCGGAGGGTACGCGCGTAAGCGGGCGCGCGCTTGAACGATGAAGGAGAGGAGTCCTTAAGAGAGTAGCAAGGGCACAGGTGTCAACAGTGGAGGAGTATAATCAGATTTCTAGTATTGGAGGGAGAACTCTACACTTTGCAGTATATCAAGATAAGGGGAAAGTAAGTACCAGAACCGAAGGAATCCTCCCTCTATTTAAGAAGGGAGATTACGCTATGCGGCGCGCTTCCGAGCGCGCTCCCGAACCGAGTAACCATATCAACTTCTAAATATATTCTAAGTTTAAATAGGCTCTCTGTATGTAAGCACGGAGGTCGGACCGAAGGTTCGTTAATTCAATGAGAGAGATAAAAATAACGCACCAGTGAATCAGCAAGGACAAAGGACAGAGGGACGGACGGTAGGAGCGCGAAGGCCTATGGAGCGCGCATACGAAGGGCGCGCGTGCGTGTGCGATGTGCGAGTGAGGCGCGTACGTAGGGCGCGCGCGCGAGAGCGCGAATGACTGGTCCTTAGGATGTGAGCTGATACAGATAGGGAATTAAATGGGTAAGAAGGCCGCATATCCGGCATCGAGAGGCGCGAGTCTCTACATCTCCTGGGAACTTACATTCTGAGTGTCCCCACTCAGAGCTATAGCGCGGGATTTTGGACTTGGAGAAATGGTGATAGACAGGGGTCATGTGATCGCGAGAGTAGGGCCGCTCCTTTGATGATCGCGAGCATCGCTGATCTAATCGATGGGGTTGTTGATAAGAGATGGAAGTGTTCTCGCGATCTCTTGTCTTCCTTCTTATCATTACCATCATGCCTCCTTTCACTGCCGCCATGCTAAACTCCACTCCCTCTCCAGAACCTGAGCCTGTGGCGCCAATTCACCCTGAGGACGCGCCTATGGCTGACGCTAGCGCGGAGTCCGATACCGACCGCCTTGTCAGCGCTTGGGCGGCTTCCCTGGTCGCATTGGAGGCGTGCGTCATGGTGACGCCAGACCTCAAGCCGGAGCTCCTCGAGGATCAAGAGATGTGGATGCGCGAGTGGCTCTCTGTACTGGTGAGTGCGCTTACATGGCTTGCCTGTTGTGATCTAACATTCCTAGGCAACCATGAACGGCTGTTCCGAGCGCGCGGGTGCGTTGAGCGTGGAGCTGGATATGGACAATAAGAGCGCGGAGCTCCTGAAGCAGGGGCGCAAGGGTTACAAGGAGATTGAGGTGCTGGTGAAGGGATGGAAAGCAAAGGCGATAGAGACTGTTCCAGTGGCGCCTCCCAAGCGCGTTGTTCGCGCCACTGAAGCGCCGGGTACCGAGGCTCGCGCCACCGACGCGTCTGGTACTGATGCTTCCATGCAGGTGCGTTTCTCTATGTCGTGTGGGTGTGCTACTCTGCTGAATGTTCGTCCGCATTAGCGCAAGGTTGGACGTATGTCTGTTCCTTCGGTGCCTCGCTGCACCAACTGCGCCAGCAAGAATCAGGTTTGCGGAGGCACGCCTGGCAGGCGCTGCCCTCCTTGTGACGTTTCTAAGCGCGCTTGCTCCTTTTGTAAGTTGCGTCTTGTCGGATTCTGTTGGCGCGCTACTGACGCCTTTGGGATTAGCTAAGCGCAACAATACAGACGGACCCAAGGCGCGTCCGCGCAAGCCTATGCCCAAGCGCCCCACGGTTACTGAGTCTGCCAAGGAGACTGCCTCCTCTATTGCCGTTGAAGAAGATGGTTCTGACGGGTCTGGTTTAGATGTGATGATTATTGATGAGCGCACTGTGGAGGATAAGGTTGTGCGCGCCTCGCGCGTTATCCCTGTGCGCGCCGAGGGTCCGTTGGCATCTGGCTCTGCGCCTAAGGGAAAAGGCAAGTACAAGGGACCAGAGGAGGAGTTGAGAGAGGTGCAAGCTGAGACGGCGCGCTTGAGGGAGGAAAATGCGCTCATGCGCGCGTCCGCTTTGAAGACTCGTCAGTATGCGCGCGCCCAGCAGGCGGATCTCTTGGCGCTTTCCAACAAACTTTTCGCCATGTCCCAGGAGTGGTCTGACCTGGAGGAGCGCGCCAATGCTTCTCTGAACTAGATACAACCTGTTTTTCTCCTAAGCGCCAATGCGCCTTTGCAATAGATCCTGATTTTGTTGTCCCATGTCCATGTCCATGTCCTCGTCTGATTCACTGGGCTATGAAATTAAGATTATAAGTATGTAAGTAAGGCTCGAGCGCGAGACGAGATAAAGGTACTGCGATGGACTTTACTAGGTTTTCTGCGGGGTGCGCGCCCGTCTTGTCTTCTTCGCGCGCCTTCCTTCATCTATCCCTGCCTTGTTGCGCCGCGCGCCGAGGCGATGACGCGCGCGTTTGAATGAAAATTAGAAAAAAGGAAAAAAAGTGCGCGGCGCCGCGCGCGCGTTAGAAAGTGAACGTCTATGGGGGTGATTATGCGCGCGCTATACAAATATGGTAGTTAGTAGTATGTACTTGCGGAATATGAGCGTTTCGGTGGTGCGTTGATGTATTCTAGAGTCTGTGGGGTTTATGTGCAGGCAATGCGCGTTATATGGACGAATGATAGAAAAAGATATCACCGGACGAAACCCGGGGTAAAACTGAGAGTATGTACTTCATGGAATATTTTTTTTTGTGTTTTTCGTATTATCTTGTGTTTTTGTTTTATGTTTTTGAGGAGTGTGTGGATGTGCGAATTGATTGGGTGATGTGCGGGTGAGAATTGGTTGCGCGCGCTAATCGTCTTGCGCGCGCTCAGGCTCGTCTTCTTCAGGTTCTACGGTTTCGTACGCTTCTAGTTCGTCGATGCTCTCGTCGTCCACTCCAGTCATTTGGGTTACCGATACGCGCTCCCCGCTACGTGGGTAGTAAGGAATGACGCGGAACGCGGCGAACCGGAGTTTTGAGATTGCGCCATCCAACTCGGCCAGCATATACGAGCCTCCCTTCGTGCGGCGCACTACGATCATAGGTCCCAAATAGCGCGGCTTCGTCTTCTTGCTCAATTCGTATTCGACCCTCGAGTTGCGTACCAACACTAAGGCGCCGGGTTCGAAATCGTGCGATTTGATAGTCGCGCGGAAGCGCTTCTCAAAATCGCGTATCGACTTGAAGCGCGCCGCGACTACTCTGTCTCTGATCGCGTTAATATCTTCTATGCGCTTCTGTAATTGACGCGCGCGCCATGCTATAAGGTCAGTAGTGGTGAACGCGCCTCGGCTTGGTAAGGGCGCGAGGAACGTCGCTTCAGCGAGATCAAAGGGAAATATTGGCTCTACACCGTGCATCATGAAATAAGGCGATAAGCCCGTCGCTTTGTGAATGGTAACGCGCTCTGCCCAGAACACTGAATGAACCACCTGATACCAGCGGGAATCGTCTCCGTCGCAGGTTTTAATGATGGCCTCCCGGACATCGCGGTGTCGTCTTTCGACTATACCGTTTGCCTGAGAATTATATGGCGAGATGCGGATCGGGTGGATCCCATATTTGCGCGCGAGTTCGTCTACTGCGAGCCTATATGCGGGCGCGTTGTCCGTCACTATTTCTGTGATCGGGCCCCACCTACAGAAGAGCTCTTCGAAAATAAAAGCGGTTAGCGCGTTAGTATTCTCTTTGCGCAGCATGCGCCATTCAGGATACGATGTTAGCGCGCATCGCGCTTGCACAAGGTATTCAAATCCACCTGCTCTGGGCATCTTCATAGTGTCGATGTGCGCTTTGCGGAATAGACCACCCGGTATGGGTACGATTGGAGGAATATGCAACCTCCGCGTTTGGCGCACTTGGCATTCGTGACACGTTTGCGCGTACCATTTGATATCTTCAATGATGTGTGGCCACCAAAAGCGCAGGCGTAGGCGCGCGCTGACCGTATAGATACCCTTGTGCCCTAGATCGTCATGCGCCTCCTTCAGAACGCGGTAGCGCTTGTTTGGAGGCAACACGAGCTGATGTTTGCCATGCGTCGCTCTGCGCCATAGGTTGCTTTCCAGGACGAAGTAGCGCGCTGCGTTGTTGACGA